CTTACTGACAGATTCCACAGAGGCAACGTCAGCTTTTTGTCATGCTATTGTCTATTTTCACTTGAATATAGGTATTGTAATGACAGCATCTATAATAGTGCAAATGTGCTGCCAGAATACCTAAAATAGCGTTCCTGAGGCTCTGAAAATTCCAGAATGTCCGGGAGAGCATGCCTCCGGATACCCCTACTATGCTAGGTACCCTACAGCAGGAGCTAAACCCCCTATTAAGAATTTGGTTGCTAAAAATAGCTCAGACTCCACGACTGACCTCCCTTAAAAAGGGCAATGTCAGCTTTTTTCAGGCTTTCTCTATTTCTATTTGAATGTGGGTGTTGTGATGACAGCAACTATCATGTGCAAACGTCCTTCCAGAATACCTAAAAAAAGCAATTTTTCCAGGGTCAGCATGCCTCCCGATCCTTCGGCTTTGAAAACTGTAAATACATTCAAATCTTCACTAACGACCATGCGACTCCCTTTCATAAAACAGTCAAGACAATGACAGCTCTGATCTAGGCGTTCTTTGTCTATTTTTATGACTGCACAACTGTGTCAAAAACTGCTTAAACTGGCAACGCCCCCTACCTCATAGAAAAATGAACGGTCCCTATGTTTGAATTAGAGAAATTCACTCAACCTCGTTCCCAGGGCCTTTTCCCTGGCTTGGGTTCGCGGGAAACGAGGTTGAAATTCACTCTAAGTAGCGTGTACTGACGGTTATCAGCTAAATATGGCGGACAAAAACTGAGTTTATGCTTATTGCATCAAGGCAGAAGTTATTGCAAGTTACAGAAAGTGTTTCTCTTAGTAGTTCAAGTAGTTCAAGTAGCTTCAGCTAAATCCCTTGGAGTCTACATCGACCAAACTTTAAACTGGGAATGCCATATTGAAAATGCCTGTAAAAAGATTACTTCGGCCTTTGATGTAATTAAGCGAATTCGGCATCATATCCATTTAATATTTTAATCAAAGTTTGTAATAGCCTTGTTCAGCCACACTTTGATTATTGTAATGTGGTGTGGGGAAACTGTAACAACGGCCTTGCTGAGAAGCTCCAAAGGCTTCAAAATCGGGCAGCTCGTATCGTAATGTCTGCGAGCTATGATAATAATTTGGATATGTGTCCCGGGCATTAGGATGACGTAAATTCTGTTATCAAAGATTAGAAAAGAATCTGTCATGATGTATAAGACATTGCATATGATTAATTTGACCACCGCGAAGCAAAATCAAGAGAATCACAACACAGCAAATAACTCTAACAAACTACGCTCTTGTATAAACATGGGGCGCCAAAAATCCGCTAAAAGCTAACCAACAATATATCAAAGCGAGAAGGTAATAATCCGTTGAAAGGCCACAGGGTAGGAAGTGGGAAGGATTTTACTCGTAATCGATCTGCTTGATCTGATGGCGAGGGAAGAAGGAAGAATTACTTGAGTAATTTTAAAACTTTATATAGACACTTGAGGGGATTGGCAGTTATGGAAACCCGAGACGTATCTCGAGTTCAAGGCATTTCCTTCTATTGTCCTGCAATTTATTATGATTCTCAAGTCTGGGAAAAACCGTAATTGAACACGTGTCAAATTACGACGATTTCATTGTGATGATATCGATGACGTAATGTTTGACTCGTCAACTCTACTTAAATTTGTTGGTGTATCATCTAAGAGGACTCGCGCAAACTTCGACGTGCTGCATTATGGGAAAGTCCTCAAGCCTCCCCCTCCCCACCTCTCCCTTGTTGGTGTGTGATGAATCTTAAGTTACCTTTGGACATCTTCGGTAATTTTCGCCCATTTTCGGAGGAGGATCGGAAACGTGAAGGTGAATTAATCAACATGACACGAGCGTGGTACAAAGAAAAATTCTGAGTCCCCGACAGGAATCG